GTAGAAGGTGAGAAAGAAAAGAAAATGGAGGATTAAATGATAACTGAGGAGGAGAAAGGATAATAAGGAAAAAGAGGACAAAAATGAAGGGAAAAAAAAGGCTTCTTTTTTATGTACTGGACCTGAAAGTACTAAAGGAAAAAAGTAACCTCAAAATTCCACTCGGTTTGAACAGTGTATCTGCTACAATCTGACAGTGAAGGCTCATCAACACACGGACGGCCGAGCAGTGTGGCCACCCTTGTGAGGGCCTGGCAACCCCAGGCACGTAACAGCCCCGCAGGTAGGAAGTACACTCTGTATCACTTTAATAAGTTGTGCCCCAGAACCAAACCCTACTTCACGCCACGCTCGAACGGCACACACTCGTTCCTCAACACAGTGGCAGGGCAGTAGGGTATGGCGGAAGCCAGCTCTAAGAAATGCTCCAGTCTCACACATTGCTCCAACATACCAACATACTCTGGCAAGGTGGCAAAGCATTTGTTAAATGACCTTGCAACCAACAGAGGCTACTTTTGGCACTTTTCTATTTTTTGTTTTTCGTATCTATCTTTTTTTCTCTCTATTTAAGCAGCAGAGTAAATGTGTCGAATCCGAACATGACTACTCCTCTTCCTCAATTCATTCAGATGCTTGCAGGGATCTCTTCTGGAAAAGAGTTTCTGCATCACACACAAAACAATACAAAAACCCTCCTAGCCAAAAAATGAACAAACGAGACTATAAAATGGTTGACTTGGTAAACAGACAGGCATACCTTATTCTGAGATGACTTTGCATGACCTCGCTGTTGAACAGCTACTGGCAACACTGATTAATTTGTGAACTACACCGACACAATTCAGACAGCGACTTTTGCTTAACATTAGCAATACTGCAGCACAATTCATGGAACTCTTTTGCAAAGCACATGCTAGCTGATAGCTATATGTTGGCCAAATTATGAAATGGCCTTAGCCATTCTACCCAAGGCCACTTTATCCAATGGCAAAATGAGAACTGGTGTGATACTATACACGAAACAGAAGCTAAATTCCCATCTGCAGTACTGAAATGATATTTAAAAATTTATTTACAGAACTTTGGACGACTTTAACAGTTAGTTCTGTTTACAAGCTCAACTCACATAACCTAGGTGGTAGACACACAAGGGATGTATAAAGTAGGTTCTGTTTTTGCATTGGTACGTTTGGCATTTCGTCCATCTGGTTCAGATGTGTAAGATGTGAAGTACAGTAAACTCCTGGTTATTCAGTATCAAAGCACCCAGAATTCTCAGCAAATCAACAAAAATTTAAAAGAAAATTTCTATTCTTTTTATGAAGATGTACCCTAAAAATTTGCAATATGCATATGTTCACCTGCCATGAGGTATCCTCCCAGGAAACCACTAGCAGGACTGCCACAGAATTACAGAACAGGAGAGATGAACCTGCCATACTGTTGCATTACATATATCCAAAACCTTTCATCTGCCAAACTACAGCATCGCCTGGGAAGACTCCAACACAACAACTAAAGTGAAAGCATGTTTTGTGTTGGGTTTCTACAAGTTTCTTTAAAGCAACTACCAAGCCCCATTTCTCATACATGCTTCTTGCTAATGGGGAGTTAGCTTTATTATGTTTTAATATATAAAATTTAAACCAAGACAGTTCTTAGATTATCTGTTAATATAAATAATTTTGTGCTTGTATCAAATTGTGTTGTCTTCCCTTTTAAGAACAAAGTAAGGGAGAGAGGCCCCCATGATCATACTTTTCCCAGGGACTACCACTGCCTTAAAGCAGCCTTGGGTACAGGCTATCTTGTTGAGACACATACAGAGGTCCACAGACCCAACTGTTTCCAGGAGTTACAACTGCATATCACAAAAAGACATCACTGGCAGCAAAGCCTAAGGTGCCTCTATGTTCCACCAAGCAGCCATTTTCTCTAAAAGTCTGCACTCAGCAACTCACTCACGTAACACTGGCTGCTAAGCAACAGCTGTTGTGTGAGTGAGTGCTCATATTTTTGTGTAAGAGAAACGGGACAACTCAACAAAGCAGCAACTCAATCAAAACTCTCTCACTGGAGGCCAGCACTCGCCTCATTTAACTTTCTTAATCTTTCTAATACCAATGCAAGTAAACTGGATTACAAGCCACTATGATTAAGACTATTCTTTTGGATTAACACACCATGCTTCAGAACCATATCTATTTCCTTCATCATATGAACAGTCCCTAGTTAGAGGTACTCTGAAACCTCAGACCATGTTCTATCTACAGGCCTGAGACAAACAAAAAAAAGGTATAAAGTTAACCTTGTAACAGGCCGGGTAGGCCTATAGGGCTTATGAGACTCTGAGGCGCCCACATTTTCTAGACAATCAAATCACACATGGCAGTGAGGGTGACATTCTTATTTGTCGGCTGGCCGCCCTTTACCCCCAGGAAGATTCCTGGTATCATTTGTTAGAGGCTGAGTCAACCCCAGGGACATAGTGCAGCTGGAAGGATTTGGTCAAAATGAAAAATCCAATGACCTCATTGGGAATCGATTCTCAATCTTCCAGCTTGTAGCACAGTGCCTCAACCAACTACGCTACAATGTCCCCCCCTCCCCTCCCCCCAAGACTACTGTCTTCTGGAATGTGAGACTGCACAATCCAGTAGATTTTCACAAATGTTCTGCATCCTCAGGATGTCCTGCACACAGGGTCATACTGCAGAAGATTCCGCAGTCTCAGAACAATTCTACCTACAGAACAAAGGAACAGGTTATGGAATATCACTGCTTCTGGGTTGTGACTCTGATACATATTGACTAACATTTCAGAGGAACCTGGTGATGGGAGCGGTAGGTTTCTTTGAAATCTCTGTAAATATCTACTACACTGTATGGTGTTACACTCCTAGTCTGTTGGGCCCACAGTGAGAATTCTCAGACTACGGAACCTTATGCGATGTGATCCAATGTCCAGTGTATCCTGAAGATGGAAGCAATAATTTCCTCTAAAACCCTGGTAAATAACTACTGGGCTACATGGTGTCATGTCACTGACATGAAAACCTCAAACCTCACAGAGTTCTCATTCATCTGCAGACAGACTTAAGAATCAATTTCCAAAATTAGCGATTTTTAAAAAGATTGCAATGGCTGATACAGTCCAACAGAATAATCTTAACCAATGTGTCATACCATCATCATGAAACTTCAAACATAGTTCAGGCTACTTTCACTAACTGCAACTTTTACTTTTTAAGTCCACCTGTACAGGCTGTTCTCCATACAGTGGGGATGTTTAAAAGCAAGCTTTTCACAACACCAAGCAAACACTTCGCAACAAGATATTATAAATTTAATCTGACAGCTATCAAGTTAGGAAAACAGCCTAAGGGGTAGAATAGTACTGGCTTCCTCTTCACTAAGCTACTGGGTCACTGTCAGGCTGCCAATGGATATCTGCCAGGGGTGCAAACACAAAGCCAGATTAGAAACGCAGAGAAAAAATTAATCATCTACCTTGCAATTTTGCTGTGCCAAAAAGTGCATTCTACTAAGTGCTGGTAACACTAATCACCCATGTAATCATCACATCCTTCAGCCCTCCACTTCATGAACTAGAACGCTTTATGTAGACATGTCGCGTGCATGGACATACTGCTAAATAAGTAAACTTCAATTTCTTAATTTCAGTGTCGTTCGTCCTTAGACTTTTTTACAGATGGAAACCTTTGAGACTAATATACAGTAAAACAAATAATGTTACAATTTAGCTAAACTAAACTTAGCTAACTAAGCACGAGGGCACACCCACTAAGCCCTATCCTAGGCAGACGTATCCAGCAAATACCTTCCCATCCTATTTCTTTAAGATCCACTTTCACACTATCTTTCTATCTATACCTAAGTCTTCTACGTAGTCTATTTCCACTGCATTTTCTAACCAAACTTTTATATACTTTTTTTATCTCACCCACGCATACTGCATGCCCCCATTAGTGTTGGTCTTCTTTATTTGATCTCCCTGACTACAAAACATAATCTTCCTAGTTTTTAGAATACTGGATCACAAACAAAGTTATTATTAACACTGAAAGATGAAACTGAAGTTTTGGGTCAATACATGAATATGACTTAGCATATTCCGCAATTTTTATGATGTAAAACACTGAAGTGCTTGAAAGATATGACACTGTAGCTCTGTTTTTCACAACCTGATTTTGGGTGAGGGGGGGGGAGATGAAATATAAATTTTTAATGTCAAATTCAGCTGAAACAATTCTTTTTTGCCTGCATTTAATCGTCTCTCCCTGGTAAGTAATCAGAATTGTTAATGCAAACAGCAAGAAAAAAATTATAGAGTAATCAGATTTAAACATTTGTTGGCATTGTTTTGTTGCCAAATAGGAAACACTATGCAGCATTTGAACATTGAAACATTTTTTACTCACAATTCTGACATGGTACTAAATACAAGTCAGCTGATCACAAGCAATAGCATAAATACAAGTGGAAAAGGTTACATTTATATCAGTAAAAATCTTGGAGGGAGAGGACATGATTGTTTGGTGAAAACCAAAATGGGGAGGGGGGATGACCCTGTGAACCAGTACTATATATGGAAGAATTTGAGGGCAGTGATGATGATGTTGGCAGCCAAGCACATACTACTGGCTCTGTGTACACCCCTGCCAGCAAACACATGGTTGGACAACTGACACATGAGGTAAGTTATTTATAAGTGAGAATTCAGTTTGGCATCATGACAGTATGGGACAAAAAGCAACCTAGACCAAATTTTTCTTACCATTTGACCACAGACTCAAAACATGACACTCTGGTCTACACACACACTCTCACAGCTTGTTTTAATACTAAAACGAAAGCCAGTTTTGGTGCTCAAGTGTCTGGATATGAAAAGTGAGGCTGTGAATAGACCAGAGTGTTGAACAACACACACAAGAACATCGTAAGAATGTAAACGAGTCGGTGCTCCTTGCTCTTACCTGACACTGCCTCCAGACACTCATGGAATATCTCCAGGTTGCGTTCACACTGTGCCTCGTTCAAGTAGAAGTAAGTACGTGCACTCTGAACTTTGTACCGCCGATCGGCAAACTGCCTGTCCATGTGATACTGCGGTATTGTGCCTGAAGAGAAAGCAGTTTCATATGAGCACAACCAAAATATAAACTTAACTGAAGTTAACATACAACACCCTACTGACATGCTCGCACAGAACTATCATACCAGCACCCATGACTGAATCAACAGACAGGCGTATGGAGTTCAGTAATAGCAAATCAGAGAGGGAATACAAAATCTAAAACTGTCATGGTAACTACATGCAAATAAGTCTTCTTGTGCCATCAAGTCATGCCAGTGAGGAACACAATTGCAGTATTTCAGAGATAATAAATACGTGTAAATAGAGTGAGAGTCTCTGAAATGTTGAGATTTCACTCAAATTAAAACATCTGGAACTTATTAATGTAATAAAAAGATAAGGAATAATAAACATCACATCCACATAATCTACCGCGAGTACTTGGGCATCACTTCAATAACCATGGCTACCAAAAGACAGCAGATTTCACAGTATCTTTTGGTATATTTTGATATTCTCACAGAAGTGACCACGAAGATTACTGGATTTGAGGTTCTCACAGTGGTGGTTATGAACCGTACCATCTTCTGGGATATACTGCGGTGTAGTTCATTGAAAGTCAACTGAATTGCAGCTTGTCAGCTTGCATGGTTTCTTGCTCAACTTATTCTTCGACCCTGAACACAAAGGTGAAAAGTTCCTCTGCAGCATTAGTCGACTTCCGATGAACTACACGATGTTATATCCCAGAAGAGATTGCTCTTCATGAAGATTACTGTCTTCTGGGATGTGACACTATGTAGTGTTGGTAAACAGCAGATTACGTAGCATCACATCCAAAAACACTGTAATTATCATATCACTGAGTGTTCTCTACAAAGCTCACAACGGAAAGAGGAGCAGTTACATCTTCACATCTAATGCTTGTTCATGTGAAATTCATGTGTAGTGCTGCTAGCAAATACGGGTGATGGCAGGTAATCACATGGCAGTTCATTCTAGAGCAGATCCATCAGCTGGACCACCACCAGAGTGCCTGCCTCAATGCCCATGGGACTGATTTTAATGTTTTCTACTATTCTGCACAGAAAAATCCATGAATGGGTTTCATTTGAACTAAGCCTCACACATCAGACTGACATGACTTATCAACCACCTTTGCTTTCCAGATGAGAACTTCAAAAATAATTTCTGAAATTTTACTACACTTCACCTTTTCTCCATCTTCTTCTAGTGACAGAAAACCACCCCATATCTGAGAAAATCTCATACATTCACAAATGACTGCTGGGATCACACACTCACGGAGATCATGTGCCAGACACGTACCATTCGACTGCTGTGAACAGTGATTACTATGCATACCACCTACTTTAACAATTTCACCCATAAGGAGCATTTATATAGCTCCTGTTATAAAAATATTTCCTCCTAACTGCGAGATCTTAGTCATCAAAGACTGAATTACTCCTTTTTGGAGACAAGAGAATAACATTTAAATATAACGTAAATGACATAAGTAAAATTAGGGCTGAATTCCATCAAGTGCAGTGATGTTTATTAATAAAGTAGAACATTTACACGTTTTGGCCTATGTCAGCCACTAGCCGAAACAAGTAAAGGTTATATTTTATTATTAAACAACGTCGCCATACTTGATGGAATTCAATCCTAAGCAATGTAAACGAGCTTCACACTTCTCAAGTAACATGTCATATATGGAGAAGCATCTTAGATACAAACTGCTATTTAAAATAGTCTGTATTCACCCAAATGCCAGGTAAAGCCCTGAACTTGAAGACCGAGGATGTGATAATGTGTTGCTCAGTGAGGACTATCAGACACCTTAGAAGGGTAGTGACAGATGAGTACTGAGCAAAGGTGGAATGACTGGCACAAGGGAACTGAAGAAACATGGAGAAAAGCCTGCCTCAGTGACATTACTTCCACCACAAAACTCAAATAAAATCACCACAACTGCACCTGAGAACCAGCTGTGAGAAGACAGTACCTACCTGCATGAACTAACACATGGCCACAGACACACTACTACTCTCAAACTGAAATATGACAAAAGTACACAGTTCTTTTCCAAGGCAAATAGCAACATGTCCACCAGAACTCCTAACACTTCTCATCACTGTGCAACAAATATCAAAACATTCTTGGTGTCTCTGCCAAACTGCCTCCTCCCCACTTCCAGACAATAACCACTGGCCACCATGACAATACAACACAAAACATACTCACATGTCATTGGAGATCCTTGTATGCTATTATACAGTTCCATAAACTTATTACTGGGTGATTGAGGGGCAGATAGGACAGGGGCCCCGGGCCAAAAGCCCATTAGCGACGTCACCCATGGGACATTCGTTGCACTCGCTTGCTCCTGACGGCCTATACCACTGCCAGGAGAGACACATAAAAACATATCAATACAATACAGAGAGAAGAGCTCACCTTGTGACTTCTCATCTCCCGCTTCTGATACACTTCCCCTGCAATCACAAGAAGAGGTTATGTTAAGTAAGGTTTGGTTAGATGACAGGCATATATACACACGTTAGATCTGGTCAAGTTCAATTTTAGGTTAGGTTAGGTTTGATAAGACTAGGTTAAGTCTGATTAGGTCATGTTAGGTTAGAGTGACTTTAATTACAATCATACAAGAAATCCTCTGATGTGTCAGGTTTCAGTATAGAAACTAGGTAATGAGATGGATGACTGAGGAATCAGGGTTTGACTCCTGACAGCAGCAAAAAGATTTCTTCTTCTCCACAGCATCCAGACTGGCTCTTAGAGCTTAGACAGCCTCCTGCAGTGGCAAATGGGGGTTAGTTCTCTAGAGGTTGAGTGGCAAGGGCATGGACCTGACCTCTCACCTCCATTCAGAAATAAGGTTAAGAATGATGGAGCTATACCTCTACTCCATACATCTTCATGATATGATGCTTAACTAAGCATGCCTTTAAATTGGTTGAGTTGGGTGAAGTTGGGTTAGAGTATATCATGTTAGGTAACTTTGGTTACAGACATACATTATCCTCATTCATACGTGGAAACATTTTGTTGTTTATAAATGCCCAACGATGGTCATAAATGACCGAAACATGTGATAAGATAACATCTTAATAAAACAAAATGATTTTATTGACAATTTGGGTCTATCAGTTATTTATTATGATAAATAACATGTTATGATGCTTCTTCCTTCTAAACTATCCACACACAATTAAGTTCAACACGGTAAGGGTTAAATACAGTTGCCAAACGAGGCAGATTAAATACTCGTACAAATGATTATTATCTGAAGATGGTTCCATATAAACTCATTGAGAATCCATATAATGCTCGCAGGCATTAGGTACCACTCAATCCAACAGTATCTGCAATGCTTGGACCTTCCCTTCTGCAAACATGCAAATAATTTCTGTGCTCTGAAACCCTGTGCATTAGTTTGAAGTGTTAAATAAACCAATTACATATATTTAGGTGTCAAACTAGCCAGGTTTACATATGTGGCTGTTTCCCTGTGGGTAAAATGGCAGGAGCATGAAGCTGACCACTAACTTTCCTTCTAGAGGTGACTCCTTCACATGTCTTAATGAACTAATGCTTAATGAGTTATGTACAAAGATAAACTTTACCCTTCACAGTTGAGGAATGGTTCTGGTAACAAGGTTGCCATGACCATTAACAACTCGCAAGTGAACTCTGAGAGTAACCAGAGAGAACCAGGGCCTGTCTTTTGGAATGCAAGCTTAATAGTATGGGATAGCTCAGTCGATACAGCGACTGGCTATATGCTGGACGGCTGAGGGGTTAGAGTTCAAGTCCTGGTAGAAGCAAGATTTTTCTCCTCTCCACATCATCCAGACTGGTTCTGGGGTCCACCCAGCATCCTATCCAATGGGTACCGAGAGCTCTTTCCTTGGAGGGGGGGGGGTAAATCAGCCAGGGCGTGAGGCTGACCACTCACCCCCAATTAGTGCTGAGGTCAAGAATACATGGATATATGCCTCCATTCCCCCATACTTCTTCATGGCAAAATGCTTAATTGGTTAAGCACAGGGGCAACTTTACCTTTTCCTTGCAGTACTTATGTGTAGCCATGCTGACTCACTCACATCTGGCATTATGGTATGTCTTAATTCTGGCAACCTTACAAGCTACACAACAGGGATGACCAGAAGGTGCATACAGCACACAGACAATGTGTCTTGTGAGATCTGAGGTTACCAAGCTGGGTCTATGAAGATCACTGTCATTTGGGATAAGATGCCATGCAGTCTGGCACACCATTACCAATGTTTCAGAAGATCCTGCTGCCTCCACCTTCAGGGTAGAACAACTGCTAGACAGTTTTCCCATTGTGGCTTATTCTTGTACCTTGAAGATGGAAGCAGTAGTTGCCTCTGGAATGTTGGTATTTATCCTCCATACTACATCACATCACAGAAGACTGTAATCTTCATATTTATCATTGTAAGAACCTCAAATCTTTCCAGATAGTCAGGAAGTTCCCTTTAAGTCTTGTTTGCATAATTTAAGTTTTCTGAACCTCTTAGAGGACGTTGTTAAACCCTTTCTTCACAATGTTAACATTATAAACCTAGATACGTTGCATACATTAGCTCTAGTTATAAAATTTCGCACACATGTAGCTGAGAGCTCTATGAATCTGCGAACTTGTGGAAAGAAAAATTACTGAAATATACAAGTATATTTACAGGCAGAAGAGTATAATAATATTGGTTGAAACACTGCATGGCCTGGAGGAACATACCATCTCAATCAAATTAAGAACATTTATAAGTGAATTACTGTAACAAAGAATATGAGTACATACAGTGAACACCTAAACCACAAGCACACTACATTTCATACTGTCTGCACAAAATATCCTTTGAGCATCATCATCAGCTAGTGGTACTCTGCTATCATTTCATTTACAGGATTCTGCTTTCAACAAATGAGAACTGATACCCACATATTGGAGATCCTGTTGAACACAGGAGACATTTGTCTAAAAGTGTGTGCCATATTAATACAAGCGTTATGTTTTTGGATATTATCAATCATCTAGTTTTTTATTTAAAACATCGTTTTGGAGACTGGAATTGTCTTGTCTTCATTTAAAAACCTACTCCCTTTGGCCCAATCAACAGAGCTAGTCCTTATCTTCAGACATCAGCACCAACACAAGACAGGATATACAAACCAACCATAACATAAACCTATATCACATCTTGTTTTGGTGCTGGTGACTTAAGATATGGATTGGGCTCAACTGAGTATGCTTTCACCTGAAGACAGACAGGATGATGGATAATGTCCAGAAACACAATAATTGTACAGATGTGTTTTGTTCTGTACAGTTACCTACTGCATGCAGTACCCTCAAAGATGTTTCAAATAGAATGTAACTTCACAGCTTATGGCTGTTAGGGAAAGGTGCATCTAAGTTGGATAAACTTAACACTGCTAAGACAGGTCTTTCAACTTCTCCTTAATATGCAAACAGATGGCTTATACAAGCCAAAGACCAAAATAGTTCTATACCTGCAAGCAGGCCTTCCCTCCCCTCACACCCCCATAAAACTCAGGTATAGAACAGGGCTCATCAACTACCTGGTCTGAATCTCCACCAGATCACTGGATACTGTTACTGAGGATTTCCAATTTACATGAATAAAAATGTATTCATTAGTAACCTCATGACTGACTGACTAACTAACTAAAATAACTGGCTAAATTCATTAAACTAACCTAATAAACTTATTCTCTCCCCACAGAGTCAAGACCAGCTAAGAAACTAACAGCTGCTCAGCTAGTCAAGAAATGTCATGAATATTATGGAACTTCAAAGCCTCATTTCTCAGATTATTTCTGAAAATCTCAAGAATTCTAACTTATAGCAATTCTAGCCCTTAGGTTCTTGCAGCTGGAGTATGATGTGTGACTTCACAGCTTTCATGGCTAGGCTGAATCAAACGTAGTCAGTGTTCCAAAGTTTCACCAAACCAAGCCATTTTCAGGGTTTATGGGGGGGGGGAGGATAAGCCAAGTGGAAGGAAAGAAAAACTTTCATCATCTCCCCAAAAACGGGGTGACCTCATCTCAGCAGCAATCATCTCTTTTCACTACCAACATGGACACTTCCCACTGGTTCGCACACAATTCCTTGGTTCACCAAATCAAGGGTTATTAAAATACTGGAAAGCTGATATCACAAATTAAGTTTCCAATAACTATTCCAGATGGTCAAATAATTCTGTGTTATGTTCTTAGACTTAAGGAGCAGGAACAGTAAGACCACAACTCATGCTCAACACAGCCACAAATCACTGAGCAAGGTTGATAACTGGAGTATGAGTCAGGATGAGTGCAAAACAGCTGTTAATTTGCGCAAACCAATCCGCGTGCATCTGCTGTTATTTGGCAACAGCAAGTGGGGCATGCCTGCAACTCCTGGCTCTGTTCCAACAGAAGATAAGCCGAAGAGTCATGACATATTTAGCTGTTGCGATGGTACTCAAGCACCAAGAGTACTCCGATGTTCCTTCAATAGTGTTACCAAGCTGGATCAGGTGGTAACACTTCTGACTTGTAGGGTTTCAGTCTCGGCGAGAACCTCAACTACCCTGAGATTTTCCACGGTTGTACGAGATAAATGTCGGGACAGTATTCCAAATTGGGTCATGGTCACTTCCATCTACAATCTCTGTATTTCATTATCCACTATTGCCTTATTACCTTGTACTATACACTCTCATATACTGAACATATCATCAAATGAACCATAAAGTCCCCATTATGGCTGTGTTTACAATGGTACCAGATATTTTTCAAATAAGAAATGTTCTACATCTTGTCAATAATTTGAGACTTATGGAAAGACGATCCAGTACTTTGCTCACAATATCACCACTGGATATTACCAGGCTTACAGATTAAACCAAGAAAAATGTGCATTTACATTGACAGCCTTCAGCGTTAAATCACAGTTTTCAGGACAAAACTTAAAAGGTTGTACCTCAATTGTGATAAAAACATGGAAAACTCTCTGCATATGTAGGCATTGTGTTCCACAGGTCACTGAGTGACAGTTCTTATGGGTCGGAATGATACGGCTTATGGTGAAGTAGGTTGTCATACTGCATAGTTGCTTGACTGTATAATGTGGAGATATGTTTTCTCAAACCGAGATACCATGATCATCTGCATTCATTAAGTAAAGATAAAAGGTAAAGTTGTCCTTGTGCTTAATTAAGCACTATGCCATGAAGGTGTATGGGGGAGTGCATGTATAGATCCACATTTTCTTGACCTCGGCACTAGTTGGAGGTGAGTGGTCAGCTTCACGGCCCTCCTGCTATTCCCCCAGGGAAAGAGCCCCTGGTATCCACTGGACAGGAGGTTGTGTGGACCCCAGAACTGGTATGGATGATGTGGAGAAGAGACCCTACTGGGACTTGAACTCCAACCTCTTGGTTGCCCAGCCTGTAGCTAGTTGCTGTACCGACTACACTATCCCAGCTCACTGCATTTATTAGGCTATTGTATTAAATACATACTCTTGATTACATGAAACCTTATTGATTCCTACTTTAAATTAAGAGCCCATGATAATCTAAGACGTAAGTCAATCAGAGAACCCAGTATTTAGGATAACCCACATAGGAAAGTTATATATTTGATAAGAATGGTTTGTTATGGGAACCCCTGCGACATTGATGGGTACAATTCCATATTTGGCACCTCACCATCATATACTGGAGATGATGGGAACATGACTCGCCACAAGTACAGCACAAATTAGCTATTAAATCATTCACTGCCGATCCTGTCATCTTTCATGATGAAATATGTTGCATGTCAAGTGACCGGCTGTTACCACTGTATACATAAATAATATTTTCTCCTACAGATGCCACTCAAATCAGAAAATTTCAAGCATAATTTGTTAAAGTTTGAAAGAGACAAAACATAGACTGACTGCTGAACGTGACTTGACACGTATGGTTCTCTGGGTTATAACCCTGTGTAGAGAACACTTGACACTCTGGATGAACATATCGCTTCCATCTTCAGGGCTGCAGAATAAGCTTGGCAAGAAACCAGCCGAAGCTGGGTGTTCTCCAAAACACTGGTACCTATCTACCAAATTACACAACACCAAAATCTTGGACATTAATTTCATTTGCATGTTTGGCATCTTGTTGTGCATGTGACTGATATGTAAATATGTCTGCTGATCACAATAACTTTATACTTTCAATAAATAACTGACAGAATCAAATTGCTGATAAATCAGTTCAGTTTATTACACACAATAATAATTTTAGACAAGTCTTACTAATGTTTGGGAACCAGGACAGTACAGTCAGTATAGCAATTGCTACGGGCTGGACGACTGAGGGTTTGGAATTTGAGTCCCAGTAGGGTCAAGAATTTTCTCTTCTCCACATCATCAAGACAGGCTCTGGGGCCCACCCAGCTTCTTATCCAATGGGTACTTGGAGCTCTTTCCCTGGGGGTAAAGCTGCCAGGACTTGAAGCTGACCATTCTCATTCAACTAATGCTAAGGCCAAGAAAACATGGAACTATAAATCAAATCTCCCGCAGGTCTTCATGGTGTAGTACATAATTAGTTAAGCACAGGGGCAACTTTACATATTTACCTTTTCTTTACTAATGTTTGACAAGTATTTTAGTATATTTAGACACCTACATCTTATGTAGAAACTTTTTATATGACAAGACTATTAGCAATGGAGCCATTGTGTCTTGCAGATTAGTGGATACATTCTGCTGTTTATAAAGGCCTGACGACAGTTGTAAATGACTGAATCATGTGTTGTGAAAATATTTTAATGAACTAAACTTATTTATTGACAATTTGATCCTATCGGTTGCTGTGTGCCAACTTTAGCGGATAGAGGGTGTTTTAGCGGATAGAGGGTGTCACGTGGTCAGCACAAACGAATCCCCACGCCCGTTAATTTCGGCTTTCTAGACCGGAACTGCTATTTCCCTGAAACAGCTACTCATTTATCCTCATGAGGATGAGTGGACCCTGTTTCAGAACCACTACTTCTCAGAAAATTAGATAGTGCAGGGAATCGAACCCGGACCTCTGGATCTGTAGCCAGGAACTCTGATCACTATGTCACAGAGGCAGTAAAGTTGGCACTAACTCTGTTGACAAGTGGCAGTTGCTCATTCGATATAGTCCAATTGCGGACTAAAAACCACTGAGTTTGTTTTGTTTTTTGTATAAAGTTGCGGCGTTTGACGAACATATTTACATATTACTTAGACACGAGTTCAACATGCCTCAGTACAAGGCAGTACCAAGTGGCAAGAAACCACAAACTAACTACAAGTGTTAGAGTTTATTTTGCTGGGACTACAGAGCCCGATACATACTCAACCTCACGGCGCTCAGCTTCTTCCTGAGAGATGTCCTCTTCCACTGAGTAGTCGAGGATCGGTTTCACTCCAAATGAACGCAGCCGTTCCAGAGTTGGCCTGATCTTGAACTGATCCTCACCTGCCACGAAGTGACCATAAAATGTTGACTTCATCAGCAACTTGAAGAGTCGGTCACCAAGAAGTTTCTTTGAAAATTTCATGAGCTGAAACCATCAGACATCAGATTAATGTGTGACATTTCATGTTCTCAGCATGATGAGTTTTAAGATTAAGTCTTCTGGGATGTAATGCTGTGTAGTTTGGTAGACGGGTACCAACATTTCGGCAGAATGTGCTGCTTCCAACTTCAAGGCACTCATGCACGAAACTATATGATATCATATCCCAGAAGATCATAATACTGAACAAATTATTCACTGTCACTTGAAACTGCTCTAATTTTGAGGATGCCATACAAGATGTACCTTGAAAGACTGAACAGAATCTAGAACGAGGTTATCACAAAGTATAAAAGTTACATTATACTGTAATGGTTTTGGGGTGTGACTATAGGTGGGGGTTTGGATTGGTGAATGTACTGACCACTTATACACACAACTTGGAACTATAAGCAATTACAGGGTCATCACTAATCTCTACAATTCACAAATCACAACAGCATCCGCTACACCTTTTCCAGCTTGCCGTGTCTTCACCAGCAGTTCCCTAGCATTGGCTTCTAACAGTGGAGATTCTTCAGCTTCACACAGTTAATTCCTTTCTTCACAGCCTCCCATGCAGAATTCAACTCTGTACAGAACCTGATATCATACAGAACTGCCTATCAACTCAACTGAACTCACTGATCCAACTGTCCTGTCATAACTTCTCAGCATGGACCACATGAAAACACTGTTCTTCTATTTCTGCATTCATGTCAATGAGGGGGCCACATATCATGATTCATGGTCATTTCTTTCAAACCAAAACTGTGTGCCTTATCACCCCCCAACAGTTTCATTTTTAGGACTACACCTGACTACTATGTCTTTGAACTTCACCAGGGTCACACATCAGTCTCTCAACTCAGTCCTCGCATGTGTCACTTTCTGATGTCACTGACTGTATCGGTGGGGTTATTAGTATTGGAACTGTGTGTATTTCAGGATGAAGTCATTAGTTGTTGTCAACAGAAGGGGCTCACATGTCATGGCGATTATGGTAAATAATTCAGCTGAAGATCACTAGGCACTCATCAATATTCTACAGACTCTGTGCCGCTTGTTGCTACATTCAAGACTACAAAAAGCCACTCCTGCTACCTGCGAGTTAAAACAGCTTCAAACTGATGGAGGACAAAGAATCATGAAACCCACAATTGACATTTTTATCTGAGCAACTATTAGCTTCTCAAGAAGGATTCTGTTCCATGGTGTTCGTGACACAGTCCAACACAGATCATCAGCAACATATAAGCGAAGGGAGATATGCCGGACATCCTGACTGAATGGTCTTGTATCATGCAATAATCATACAACACTGTGTGGGCACACTTCTGGACCATGTCCAAGGGGGTGGTGATGATGGAAATATTTCAACGTGAACCATACCACTCTGCCTGCTGAAGTATTTCCTGTCTGGGCAGCTGTTTGCAGCATTCACTCTGCACCAACTTGCTCAACTACTCTTTGCAGCTGAGTCCTTCTGGAGAAGCTAGTAGCATCTTATGGAACCCAAAGGTTCAGTATGATGCTCACAAGAACCGGCCACTGGTCACGTCCCATCCCTATTCTGAGCCAGATGAATCCAGTCCACCCATACCATCCTATTATGACCCATTTTAATACTATTCTCCTATCAACGAATGGGTCTTCATACTGGTCTCTCTTTCTTCGGGTTTTCCTACAAAACGCCGCAGACATTTCTATTATATTTCACGCATGCTTCGTCTGATCATTCCAATAATATATGGTGAAGAGCAGAGATTATGAAGTTCCTCATTATCCAGTTATCTCCAGTTTACTTCATCCCTCTCACAAACAAATACAGCACACCCTCAATAATCCGGGGTAACTGGGTGGGGGAGAGATCATCTAGATCAAGCGACAATCCATATCAGTGACGCAAATGGTAGCTCTAAAGGGGGGGGGACTTAGAACACAAATAAATGGAAAATTTTATTGATATAAGTAGTGTTGATGAAAATAAATAAAAATATATCACTGTAGAACGTTTATTTAAAATTTGTAAAAAGACAAATACATTTATTCATCGATAGAAGACTCAGAAATTGCAGATTTGAAGGAACCTGCCAAGTTTTGCCTGAACAGAAAAGTGACTCATCTGCCTTCCTAAATGCCACGTATCTTTTAAAGCACGTATTCAACTGTGAACGGGGCACGTGGTAGCGTACTTTGTTGAGGAACTATGCTACAAGCCGGAAGGTCACGGGTTAGATTCTCGATGAGGTCAGTGGATTTTTCAATTGACCTAATCCTTGCAGCAGCAATATAGCCCTGGGGTCGACTCAGCCTCTAACAGAAATGAGTATCACGAAACTTCCTGGGGGTTAAAAGGCGGCCAGAGCGTGAGGCTGATAACTTCACCGCAATCTGCGAGCCGACCGTCTAGAAAAAATGTGGGTGGCTCGACGTCTCACAACCCTGTGGGCCTCCACGGCCTGTTACAGGGATACCGTTATCATTTTTAATTTACTGAAATGCGAACAGCATTTTTCATATTTCAATCAGGATTGACTGCAACAGGATTCGCGAGGGTTTACTGTACAGCACACCAAGGGCCGCTGCAAAAAAAAATTCACTTTGCCGCATCTCCATCAATAGGTCCCACCCCCGGTCTGTCCCGCTGTTTGTTTCCACCGGTTGCCATGGAGATAGCAGGGGCTTTTAACGCAGCCGCAACTTGGATGAAGCTATGGCAGCTGAACGCAACCACCCACACTCGCTTCAAGCTCTTACTCTTCAGCGTGCACTTCCTTTTAGCCAACTTCCCTTACCTCCAGAAAGACAGCAAGTTTATGAGACCACCATACTGCCCGAGTGGGTCCATTTTCAACTATCTATTGATTTCCACAAAACTTGGTATGAATGTTATGCCACTGCAGCGTCATACGTCCCTATTTCCTCGGGATACCTGAATCGGTTTAGTGACTAGGGTACAGGCTGAATGTCCGAGGAATCGGCGTTCGATTGCCGACAAGCCCAAAGACTTTTCTCCACAGTGTGAAGACCGGGCCTTGGGCCCATCCAGCCCCCTATCTAGTTGGTACCGGGGTTAATGTTGGTGGGCGACAAACTGACCATTCACCTCCTTCTAGGCAATGGCTAGGAATGCGTGAAACTGTATGTCCACTCCCACATACGTCGTAATGGCGTGGTGCCTAAGTATCTAGGGATATTCTCCTTTGCGTTGAATTCGTGGCATTATTTCAGCATTTACAATGTTAACCCCATAAAGATGTTGAGCCCGTAAGCCTTACAAGAGCTGGTGTTAGGCCCGAACGTCTCGACACCAAGGCAGACGCTCGAAACGTTATTTCGTCTTCGACCACTGAAATGGCTCGCCTGCAGAGACACCAGCGCACCCCTACCCTACGGCTGAAAAGGGTACCATGAAGCTGAAATTCGGTGGCATTAGTCGCAGTTCATTCATTCATCAATGGCTTTATTGCCCTCTGTTGGGCCCTGGCCTCTTCTTCAGTTTCGTAACCATTTTCACACAGACGGTAGGACTGCTTGGACGAGTGATCAGGCCATCGCAAGGCCGCTACCTACCTACATACAGGACAATACAAACACTGAATAAACGCACACACAGACTCCATTCATTGAGTGGAATTAGAACCCTTGATTCCAGCGTTCGAGCGAGCGAAGCAGTTATACAGCGCGGCCACTGTGATCGGCACTAGTAACAGTTACTCCCCAACAACTCAGCTTGTTTCCCTTATGCATTTTTATGTATACTATTCAAGTGAGTGTCACATTGCGACTGACTGACGGTCGGTCGGTCGGTCGGTCAGTCAGTCAGTCAGTCAGTCAGTCTTTCTTGGTGCCCAGCCCCATGAGGGGCGCCCTTTCTGACGAGAGGACGGGTCTGTCGTTTGTCAGAGTCACTGTCAGCAGTAATACGTCAGTCGTCAGAATGCAAATATATTTACATTTTACAGGTTATAATGTTATTAAATGTATATAGAAGGCCTTTGTCAGCACAGCAGTAACTTCCGCTACAAAGACAGTCTAGTCATTTGAAAGGTCGCACGCTTGAGTTTAAGCCTCTTATAAACATTTGCATTTCCATGTTGCTGTATGACCTCTGCTTGTTGCCTGCATAATTTTGTTATATAATCATATAACCTATGTACGGAAGTCTGAAAGGCATGTGCAAATCGCGAACCGGTGTGCTTATGTATACTATTTATTTATAGCACCAGTTTTAGACTTCGAAGCCTGAGTGAACGAGACGGATAATCGGAGAGACATACCAGACGTCGGTCTGGCGCGACAGTTTAGCTTGGGTATTTGGGGGGGGGGAATCTGTCAACTGACGTTTGAAGCCTGTAAAAGCGAGAAATGTGCGATGGGGTAGCGAGAGAGACTACATTTTGGAGGGGTAGTACACAAAGTTTCCGTTTTTGAAAAGTTCCCTGACAATGACCATTCGTCCTTCTGCTAGAGGTACGTTTGGAGGGTGAAACTTTAGGAAGTGCAAAGGGTAAACGGCTGGAATGAGGACATTGTTAAGGGGACAGCAGATGAGCAGGGGCATTCACCTATATAATATATAAAGAATCAGTCCGTACCTCAAAGGAAACTCATTACGTCTCCGATACAAAGACCAACCGATTTAGCAATAACAGTCGTTTACTGCCAGAACCACATGAAAAGCATTAATACCCCGTCTTTGTAATAGTAAAGCAGGAGGTACATGCAGTTACTATGAGAATACGGTTCCTCCTCAAACCTGCACAGTACAGATGCCAACTTTAAGTTGTGTTTGGCGGAGTGTGCAGCCCGGCCCGGTATCGATCGCGTTCCACAGACACGCGCACCCCGTCATGTCGCCTGTTCACTCTTACTGGAAACAGCCCACGAAACTGGGGCAAATTTCATCGTCTGCCACCGGCGCAGAGAATCGATGCAACGGCTTGCCGTGACCAATTTCAAAGTCAGCACAATTTTGCTCTTTCCCACTGCATAGCAGTCCA